TAGTAATATTTAACAACAATCCTATCTAACTTTCACCAACATTTTTCAGTATATGCATAGGATAAATACAATGTCGAGCATCTAACTTTTCCGAATATGGCAATTCCCAACAAATTGACCTCCTTTTCCAATTATCTGGACAATTGTTTTAAATGCCTTTTCCAAACACAGTGTTTAGATTGAACCCAAGAAAACGTAGTTCTTCCGTTGAGTCATTATACCATTCTCTTCTTTACCATCAAACAAATTTCCTTGTTTATGATATCCGTGATCCATTTGAAGTGATCTTCGATGTCTCATGTATACATTTTTCTTACAATTTTCCAACCATAATCAGTGTGTATTGTTTTCACAAATTGGACATGCCTTTTTTTCCTTTCGTACTTGACAAATTTGCGTAAGCTGGAAAATCACTTATAGTGGAAAAAATCATTGCCCGTAGTTGGAAATAGTCCTTCTTATACACATCATACACTTCAACTCTCTGATTCCACAATTTTTTCATGTCTTCAACTAACGGAGACAAATACACATCAATGCCCTTACCTGGTTGTTTCGGACCTTGAATTAGCAATGACATCATGATGTATTTTCGCTTCATGCATAGGCAAGGTGGAAGATTGTGTATATATTGTAGCACCGGCCATGTGCTACGTGACTAGTCATGTTTCCAAATGGATTAATTCCATCTGTAGTAAGTCTCTGAATGAATCAGATCTTTCTAATCTCAGCAACAAATTCCTTAAACTCATAATCAATATTTCTCCATTGAGGAGAATCAGCCACATGTCTCATTTCTTCGTCTGTTTTACGATTCTCAAAAAGCCAACACAACAACTTTGCATCTTTGGCATTTGCAAATAATTGTTTTAGTCTTGCTATGATGAGAAAATACCACAATACTTTAGTAGCAGGTTCATTCCTTTTCACATTGTCGTCTTCTTCCATATTATTTGTTTGTTTATACTACGATTTACCACATGTAATACATTTATCTAAATATTCATATTGATCTCTGTAAATCATGCAATCATTTGGACATGCATAAATTCTCTCGATTTCCAAACCCATTGAACACCAATTTTTTCGCTTGATATATTGAAACATGTAGTTCATTATCTTCAGGAGGCATTAGAAAATTTGTGAAACTTTTATCACTCCAACCACTATTCGCTTTTAAGTTAAATAATTTCGGCACAGTAGAAAGTTTGGTAAATTTTGTGCAACCAACATATAACCGTTTTTGTGCATCGAAAAACAGTTGTTGAAAATTTTGAAAATCTGTATCAGGAATATCATCTTAAATATCATGTAACATGTCATCTATTTGATCATAATTGTTATTGTCAAAGTCGTGGGTCTCGTCGTCATTAGATTCATTATCAATAATATTACAATTAATAACTCACCACGTTGTGACCAACGAGTATACCCATGACATATAAGGTGTTCTTCTATTAAATTTGAATCGGGAAACATTTTACAATTTTGACACTTTTACAAGGACACCAAATTTTACTTTCTCCTTTATTTACTTAATGATCCTCATCAACTTTAATGAAATCTTTCAACTTAATTAAGTACTATTTGTCATGACGTTGTAATCTATACATCCAAGTATCACGATCCATCTATAATTCAAGAAATTTAGGTATTAGTAGGATACATGCCCTATAAATATACAACAAATATGGTTGTAGGTTATCACTCCTAATCACTTTTTAAATAACTTGTCTCATATTTGAACAGTTATTAACAAATTAAGTATTTAAGCTAAACAACCAATATTTCTTTAACCATCTAGAAGTAACCATACCTTATAGTTGCACAAAAGAACTTGAACAAGATCGTTTTAAAGTTTGTTGATGGCTAACTACCCTATAAAATAAAAACAAAACAAGAATAAATTATAACCAAATACAAAAAACAAAACTAAGAACGTATATGCAATTTAATCTATAATTAAAAAAAATGGCACAATATTAGGTATATTTTGTAGGATTTTTAACATAAAATATATCATCCAATTTTTTAAATTATATTAATAATTATTATTATTATTTATTGAAATAAATTTACAATTCTAACAAAATAGATAAATAATGATTTTACGTATAAATCCGTTTAACAAAATAGATAAATAATGATTTTACAACTAAATGAGTTTTATTACAGAAAACATACATTAAATATAGGAAAAAAAACTAATAATAATCTGATTCTACTTTTCTTTTGTGCATGGTTTATCAGCAACATAGGAGTCAGGTCTTGCAGAGAGGAGAAAGGCAGTATGATGGATCGAGACGATTACAGAAAGTAAAAAAGACGTCGCTATAGCAGAGACGATCGATGTCAAGAAGGCGGCGTCAAAGCTTACTTCTGGTGAGATTTTGATCTTGCTGTGATCTTTTACAAGAAACCGTGAATTAAATCTTGATGTTTACCTAACGATCGGGGTTGAAGAGCATACTGTTAACGATTGGATGTAGAAGATCGAACAGCAGCCAAGAGTCAATGTCCAGTGAAAGATGTTCAACCCAAATTGAGGTAGAGTTTACGGTTGGATTTGAGGGGAAATCGAAATCGCAGGTGAAGCTTAGTAATTGGGCATGTGGGGAATGGATGGGGACGATAGTCAATTAGGGTGGTTTTGCTTGTATTGCAACTTGCGAAGGCAAGAACCAGGAACAAGGAAGCTGAAACAAAAACAAAAACAAAAACAAAAACAAAAACAAAAACAAAAACAAAAAAAAAAAAACAAAAACAAAAACAAAAACAGAGTTGATGGAATCATGATTTGGGGGTTTGTTTTTTTCAATATTACTATCGGTCAAGAAAAAATATAATCTGTTTTGATCAAATAGAATCTATCGAACTATTTTATAAATTGCAAAATCATATGGTTAGAAATTGATTTAAGAGATGGCAGATGGCAGAAAGCAAGAAGCAGAGTATAGTTGCTAAAAACATACCCGATACCAAGGTTGGAAGAAACCGGGACAACTTGTCTTCAAATGCAGATCATCACCATGTATGGTTCGGAAATTGGAATGAATACCACCGTCTCCAAAACACCTCAAAGCAGAGATATGAAAAACAAAGGTCGATTTTTCTTATGATTTTTTGAAAGAAAGATGGATGTTGGCATTGAGGTGGATATGTATTTATCTACAAGAGGTTGTATCGTTGTGGACCTATTATAATGGTGCCTAATTTTTAGGTATTAGGGTTTAAATGTAAAATGTTTTGGGCGTGTTCGGCAAAAATAGCTTGCAGGTAGCTTGCGTTTTGTTAAACGCTACATGAAGTAGCATTTGGATTTATAGCGTTTTGTTTAAACTAAACGCTAGAAGTTTGTAGTGGCAAACGAGACTTTCTGTTCAAAACGGAACGTTTTGTCAAACGGTAGAAGCTAGAAGCTCTCAAACGCTCTGTGCCGAACACGCCTTTTATCAGGTTATGTATAAAATATAGTTGTAAATGAGTAAGCGTATTCTAGCGTATTCTATTCTCCTTTGCCTGCGTTACACGAAATAGAGTACGGTTATTTTTTCATAAAACCGTATACTAACATTATATAATACGAATTACTCTATAACCCTTACTATATATGCCGTAATCTATTTGTGATTCTGTTCATATAAGAAAAAATGAGAAATTTTTCCATGAACAAAAAAGTTAAAGCGGTCTTATATTAGGCAATCAACAATGAAAATACATTCGGTTTGATTAAATTGAAAAAGTATGCCTGACTTATTTACAAGTATTAACACACACTACACAACGTGGATTATGAGATGTTTCGAGCTAGCATCTGGTCTCAAAGTTAATCTTAGGAAAAGTAAAGTGCTTTGTATTGGCGTGGTTGAGGAGTTAAATTTAATGGAACCACTGGTTAATTGTGATATCGGATCCCTTCCTTTCAATTACCAAGATCCCAGTGGGTGCAAATATGTGCAAGTATGAACAGACTTTCTCATTGGCTACCGTCAATCAAAAAGTTCAAAAGCAAACTATCGGGGGTGGAGAGCTAGGAATTTGTCGTTTGGAGGAAGGCTCACATTATGCAATGCAGTTCTCACGAGCCTTGGTTCATATATATTTTTTTTTCATTGTATAAAGCCCCTACTAAGGTGATAAGCAATTTATAAGCAATTGGAAATAAATTCTTTTGGTTTGGTAACTCAGAGAAAAATAAAATTACTTGGGTTGAATGGTATAAGGTCACGACACCTGAAGAAAGCGGGGGTCTCGGTATTGGAAGTCTAAAATCCTTCAATCTCGTTCATCTTCAATCTCGTTCTTCTTGGGAAGTGGTGGTGGAGGTTTAGAACAGACTCCTATGAGATGGAAAGACGTAATAGTTGTGAATTATAGCACATTGGGGAATCCTGAGTCTATCGGAACATTAGAGGGGGTGGGGGCTATTAAGGGGTTGAATTGGGACCTGTTTGAAGTCAATTTCTCACTAAAAGACCATCTTGTATCAATTGGACCCTCCAGCCGATTGATGTTTTTGACAGACACCTGGTGTATTAGCAGCCCTCTTAAGGAAAAGTTGTCCAATTCAGATGTATTATTTTATTTGAATGTATTATTTTGTTTTATTAGGTTTTGGAAATCCATATGTATTATTTTATTTCGCTTAATAGCCGCTCAAAAATTGCTGCCCAATGTGACTTGAAAAATGGCTAATTAGCCCAATGTTGTAACCTCCTTTTGCCTAGCCTCTCGCTAGCTAGGTTCTTTTTGAATATCAGTCTTGCCGTTCAACAAAACACACACACACACATACTACACAAAAGAGAAAAAAAAAACAAATACATACTTATAAAGATGAAAATATAAAGCAAAATAATCCATCGTAATTGCCATTGTTATCGAAATCACCCACATTAAACCAGACAAGTGGAATAAAAAAATATACTTATTAACTAAATATATTTATAATGACGGAATTATAGAGCTAAATAGCAATGTAGTTGAAGGTTTTTACAAAGTTATGTCTCCGGGTTCAAGTATATTATTTTTGCTTCGGGTGATGCTCGAGGGAACCACATAATATACTTTGCAATATCAAGTCTTTTTTGAGCATCAGCAGCTCCACTTTGTTTAATGGTAAACTTCTCGAGAGCAGGGGAATGAGCAAGTAGAATCTTTATAAAAAGTAGTTCCGCTTTTGATCCATGTAAAGATATTATCTCAACATTTTGCAATTGATTCAATGTACAGTCCAAACAGTTTGGGGATTCCAAATAATTTATAGCTGGTCTCATATCCACTCGAAGCTCCTGAAACAACATAAAAATGCAACCACAGTTTAGCTCCCAACTCTTGTATCATGTAAGCAAAATAATCATATAATTTTAGCACTCATTATTATACCACCTGCACATCCAGCATATACATATGAAAGCTTTCAAGATTGGGTGAGTTTCGAAGCAAACAAAGAGCACCATGAAGTAGATCTAAATCACCAAGTTGAAAATCCAGCAACCGCAGATGCTTTAAACTACCAATCGCACATGGAAGCAATTTTGGAATCTTTTCTGCAGCCAAAAACTGTGAAATGAAAGTTAGATTTTAACTTACGCAAAAAAACATGAGAATTACATACCCCCCAAGAGCATAAAAAGCTTACCTTAAGAAAATGACTGTTGATATAAAAGTATTCAATTCTGGGCAAGTTACTCAACATTGTGGCCAAATTAATTTTTTTCACTCGTACAAAATTTGTTACGGGTCTCTTGAAAGTAATCCAAGCCACAAAAAGACATGAACTGTCCAATAACTGAAGCAACATGGCATCAGGGCAAGCAACGACAGTCAAATCCTGCAGTTTTGTAGCCTTAATGTTGAAATTGTAAACATTTGTGCACGTATGGAGTATCAACTTCTTAAGCCGTGGTAGGTTGATCTTAGTTCCACACAAGTTAGCCCCAAAGTCAATATCTTCCAGAAGAAGTTCTTCAAGGTTGAGAAATCCTTCAAACTCAAGTGGTTGCTTAAAGAAACAGTTTTGTAGTTCCAACTTTGTCAACTCTAGACAAGAAAACAAATGAGAAGGAAGTCTATAACATTCATTTGAATTGGTAAGCTTGAGTTCCCTGACACCGTTTCTTGATAGGAGTGCGATGAATTGATCGACTTCTTGGAAGCTATCAAGAGATATATTTGGTATATGGAGATGAAATTTCAAGATAGGACCCTTGTGAAGGATCAAGACTGTGTTTATGATCCTTATAAACCCATTACAACCTAAATATCCATTTGTTGCAAATTTACTGGAGAAATACTTATCAAAAACCAGTGTCCTTATTGTGGTCCATCTGTGCCTCCACTTTTTCGATAAAACGCTTAGCCTTGCAGCAAATTCAGTCCGGAACCGCTCTAAGATCGTGTCTATCAGGTGACCTGGCAAGTTACTGATTCTATCTTCCTCACCACAACTGAGAACCCTCCTTTTATTAAACTCTGTTATCATATTCAGAAGAAAAAAAATGGGAACAAGTTACATCAATACAAAATGGAATGCAATAAGAAACATTAAGCAACTTGACCTTTCTAACAGTCTCCTTAATATATATCCTAGATGGGTTCGCCTACTCTCTATTTGTTAATTGCATTTTACAGGGATACAAAATATTTTGGGTTCAATTTTAGCCTATCCTCGAGCTTCTAGGTACATCAATGGCTTCCCGTGGCAAAACCTAACTTAAAATAACTTAGATGACCATATAGTAATAAAATATACCCTTCATACTTGCTGCCTTCCATAATTAACAACTAGCTATTTATTTATCTTCACAAAATCCGTTTCCTGATTTTTGTTTTCCAGTGAATATATACGTGATGATTGATGACTACACAAAACATTTTTACGTTTCGTACTGAAAGGAGCAAATGAATCCTAAACAGTATAACTCAACTCAAACAAAATATCTTTCACACACGACGTTCAATGAATCAAAAACATGGAGGTTTATGAAGTAGAAACTTACCCATCATACCAGTGGGACCGACCACGTAGCTTACCTGTCGGAGTAAAAAGTCAACGAATTGGGAACTTGTTAGGGTTTACTGACCCCCGCCTAAAGTAAGCTGTAAAAATAGGGTGTTACTAAAGAATCCTTTTGTGAATTGTGATTTGATTTCCTTTTGTTTTTTGTTATCTAAAGAATCCTTTTTCTTATAAATTTTGATTTTTGAAACTTCTATTTTGGATTCATCCGTAATATCCGTATCATATTTCATCACCGTGAGAAAAAAAAATGTTTAAGTTTTGATAAAATTACTTTTTATTAATGAAAATTTAAAAAGTAAATTAAAAATAAAATAAAAAAACTAGAATCATAATAGTAGTAATTGTAGTAGTATATAACAGTAATATTTAGTTATTGAATTATTTTTATAAATGATTTATTAAATTTTTATTAAAAAAAAAAACTACAAAGGTAATTTAGTAGTATATAATTGTAGTAATTGTAGTAGTATGTATGGTTAATGTCATTTAACCCTATAATTTTTTTTTTTATAAAGTGTTATAAAAATCTTGATTAGATCCCGATTAATTTTCGATAACTCCTAGGTGCTACCCGGCTGACTACAAGGCGCCTAACGATTAATCCATGTCTATAAAATGAGCAAAATAGTAGAAAATGATGAAATTTTAACACTTTAAAAAGTTTCATCTCAATAGAAACTATTTATTTAATGAATGATTAGTATTGTTTTAATTATATTTGTTGAGTCAAAAATATGGTTTATACTTTGTTTTTCTAAGCATTTATTGTTTTTAGTCTTGGGCCGAAAATATTATTGGTTTATTTGTAGCTTGGACCGAAAACGTATGTGTTTTCGGTCTAGCCTTTGTGTTTTGGCTTGGGTGTAGTCCATAGGTATATATAGGGGCAAGGGGAGTGTTTTAGAAGTGCATGAGAGAAAAGGTAGTCCATATCAAAAAGGGAAACCATTGTTGATTAGAGAGAGAGAGTGTGTGTGTGTGTGAATCTTATGTAGTGTTTTTCATTCATATCATTAATATATCTTAGATTTATCTTGTTGTTCTTCTTCTTCTTCTCCATTCTATCTTGCATCATCCACTTGATTGGGATTCCGCATCATCAAATGGATCAGATTGATACTCAAGCTAATTTGTGGGACTTACAGTTGCTATCAAAGCTTGGTTTGTATCAATATTTTTGGCAAGATCTGGAGCGTTTTCGCATTTTTTTTCTTAAAGGATTTTGCGCTTTTGGATAGTTTTTGACAAAATATTGGGGTTTATTCTTCGTGTTTTTCATAAAAACGACTTTTTGATCGAGTTTTGGAGCTAAAAATTTGAAAAATCGTGTTTTTGGCAAAAACTGGGCGTTTTCAGCTGTAAACCCTTGGGCAGTAAACCTGTTTTCGGCTGTAAACCACGACTGTTTAATGTGGAGCGTCTCTGATTTTCGGTGGAGCGTCCGTCGGTTTGCGGTGCACGTGTTCGCTTCGTATTTTCAGCCCAACACCTGTTCGGTCCAAGCGAGCTTTTGGTCAGAACGCGTTTACGGTGCTCGCGCGTGTGGTCCTCGTTTGCGGCCATCAACGAATATTCAAAAAATCTGGGGCGTGCAAGGATTCGAACGTGCGCCTCTCGCATACTCAACCCACTCCCTTACCAATTGATCTAGCAAGCCAAATATTTAACATCCTCCCTGATTAAATCATATAGCTTCGCATTTTCGGTTCATATTTTCGGATTTTTTACATTTTTGGCCCAAAAATTAAATTTTCAAATTTTAAAGTTTCATTTTCAACCCAAAGTTTTGACTTTTAATTTTCGACTTTCTAAATTGACTTTTGACCTTAAAAATTGACTTTGACTTCCAAGTTTGACCTTTGACTTTCTCGTTTAACCTTCAAATTTTCACTTTTAACTTTTCAGTTTGATTTTTAAGTTTGACTTTTTAAACTTGACTTTTAAGTTTGACTTTTGAGGTTTATAGTCAAAGGGTATTTTTTGGTAATCAATGAGTTCCGCAAACATCCCGGTCAATGAAGTTTCATGCTCTCAATCTTGTGAAACTACTATTAAATTTCTCCGAGATCAAATCGATTTATTAGCAAGAGAAAATGAGGACCTTAAGTACGAAAGCTATACCCTTAGGAAAGGTCAGAAACCCCTGAAAGAACACTTAGAGGCCAAAACTAAGGACTTTAGGAAACTTCAGGAAGAGTACAACAATAAATGTGTAAATTATGATTATGTTAAGGAACAACTTGCCAGTTTGAATGCTGAACTTGACACATTGAAAAACAAATTTGAAAATGCAGATTTTAATTTCAAAAAATTCGATGTGTCAAGTCAGAAAGTTGAGTCCATGATTGAAAAACAATTAAAATTTAAAGATAATCAAACCAAGGGTCTAGGGTACCACAGTGTTCCACCTCCCTTCAATGACAACTATACCCCACCCCTTGAAACCAATGAGGTAGAGACACCTACTCAGTATGGCCCACTTCCTGAACTAGCTTCAGCTAAGACTGAACAATCCGGGCGAACTGAGGATATTGAGCTGAAGGATTCTAATGACTCTACTTCATGTGCAGGTAAAGTAGTGGAAGATGAGGACAAGGAGAATAGAACTAATTCCAGTTCTATTGATTCTGTTGACTGTCAAACCAATGTCTCCTTGAACTCTGAATTTGTTGCTTCTAACTCAGTCACTTCTAATTAACATCCTGTTGGCACATATAGGCCACCAAAACAAGCTAAATAGAGTGCTTGCTGCAAGTGTAATTGTGGGAACAATCATAGACAAGGCAAGGGCACGCCACTAGGGGTAGGAAGAAACAACTCATACTTGAAGAAAAAGACATGTTTTCACTGTGGAACACCTGGACACATTGCCAGAACTTGTCCAAATCGCACATATGTTCCCTACTATGCACAAGGATGGAAAAACACACAAAGAGAGAGATTTTTCAAAGGAAACCCTTCGAGGTCACAATCGCGAAATGGTGACTAGAATGCAAAGAAGACCAAGAAATGAACTCCCAACAAAAAGAAGGGAATGTCGGCTAAGAAGCCAAGATCAAGAGATGCTCTAGTGAAGCCAAGACCGGTTAGGTCAAAGCCATCTCGATGGCTGACTTCAAGTTCAAAAGCAAGTACTGAGCCACCCATTCGATCGAGCAAGAAATGGGTTAGACCCAACTACAGATGGGTACCAAAGGTTCAAACTCCCAAATCACCTAATGATTCTAACATTTCTTCATCTTCTGTTTGTGATAAACATGATATGTCATGGGAGAGAGTACCTTGTGCTGATGACAAAGGTCAACCCAGGTTTCAAAATGGACTGGGTTCCAATGACCAACTGATCCCGCTCTGTGTCGGAGCAGCTATGGAGACATATCATCATACTTCGGTTTGTTGATAGTAGCAGTTCCAGGCACTTGATATGAGGCATCTCTCAACTGTATAACACTCAGGACTTTGTTTGAGAGTATGTGTCCTTTGCGGGAAAGGATGAATGAAAAGGATCACAAATAGGGTTTATGCTTAACGATGTGAAGAATTTTTGGATCTGTTCCGAGATTAAATTATGTGTGCTATTCTCAAATCATCCGGATGCAACTTCCATTGGTGAATTACGGTTTGAGTTTTCTTCTCGATACTCCTGAGTTTTTCTTTAAATGATTCGTTTTAAAGACAAATTTTTATTTTTATTTTGTGCATTTATTTTGTTTTACTTCTCCTTCATGCACAATTTTAGGGGGAGAAATCAAAAAAATCAAAATACAAAAGAAAAATATAAAATAAAAAAAATGTCTTCTTTCGTAAGTATTATCGGGAAGTGATATGAAGTTTATGCTAAAAGGCAATCTCGAAATTCGTGTAAAGCACTGAAACTGAATTGTCTAGACTTTGTGTTCAATGTGCTGGTAGGCACGAAGGATTCAAAAGGACTAGACTTTGATTCACAATCGAAAGGACTTGACAGTATAGACTTAGATACTCTCATCTTAACTGACAATACGACGCTCGGATAGATTGAGCAGTGAGATAAACATGAGAACTTGCAGGATACATTAAAGTCATATGTATCTAGGACTGTGGCTTAACATTTCCTTGATGTACGGTCTTATGATCTTAATTCTAGTACTGATAGGGTAACTGGGGGGTTCTGATAAAGTAGGTCTATAGAAAATTGTTTTCTTGCTTTCTATCTGTCAGTCATATGTTGCTTCCTCCGTATGATTGGAAAAGATCCGACCTGGAATGCAACATATGCAACTCTATTTCTATGCACCTTCTTATCTATGCATTTCTTTCTGTCTGTTAGTCATATGCTATCTCCTTTGCGTGATTGAAACAATCCGACCTGGAACACAGCATATGCAACATTCTATCTCTCAACCCCTTTATCTGCGTTAGTCACATGTTGTCCCCTCTGCGTGATTGGAAGAGATCCGACCTAGGGCACAACATATGCA